TATTTATTTAGTTCCTTTTTTATTATCAGCTTATTTATTAAATACAATTGGCTACATCATGATTCCAGGAAAAAAAATCTGAAAAGCTGCGATGGGGGTGCTTTTGTCTTTTTGTCCCCTCCCTAGCGCCGCCCATGTAAATGTGTGTATATATATATATATATATATATATATATATTATGAAAACATGTCAAAAGATAAATAATGTCACTGTCACTTGGACTTTTATCTGACATTTACGTCATATCGTGCGCGCATGCGCATGTCACCCGGCAGTGAAACTCGCTTATTCACAGGTGAATAACATCAAAACAGACACAGAGCGTCCCGAGATCAGAGATCAGAAATGGGCAAAGGCGGCGGAACGTTTGAGAGACTGTTGGGTATGTGTTATATTTCATGTTTTCAGTGTTTATTTCGACTGACAGACCGATGTATCGCTGACACATAGATAAAGTGTGTCTGCTAATGCTAATGCTAGCACAGCTTGAACAGTGACGGGAACGTTAGCATTTAACGTCTATTGTCTTTATTTTGCCCACCGGAGCTTCAACACACCAGTGCCATGAACTTAAACATCACATTGCGAACATCTTTTTCAGGTAAACCGTATGGTGTTGTAACTGTAGTTGACAAATCCATTATTTTACGTAAGCTAAGTTAGTTAGCACCACATCTGAGCTAAAGCTATTCTCGGGCCTCTTTTTCACAAGCTACGTATAGTATAAGCAGGGTTTAAACTAACAAATCATATATGCGTTTCTCATATTGTGTACTTTGTGCTTAGTGTGTATGAAGTAGTTGACTTAGTCCTCACCAAATCTCGCTGTAAAGCAGGCAATTATAAGAGGCGTGTAAACATTGTCATGGCATTTCATATCAATATTTTATGTTTACAGTTGCTTATACCTTTTGGAAAAGTGTAATTTAAGGATTTTGAAGGTATTCCCGTTATTCAAGGTTGGCTCTTCCTGTTTGCTCGTGTAATCGAGTGCTTCTGTATAAAGAGAGAGAGGATATTTTGCCCATTTTTATTTAGGTTCACCACATAACGGAAACTTCCTGTTACTGTCACACACACACACACACACACACACACACACACACACGTATATGGGTTGTAATTTCTATTCTTGATTTTTGGGATTGTGTGGTTTACTGGACAATATCCTCCTGAGAACCAGAAATAAAAAGCTTTGTGAATTTAGTATTTTTTTTCATGTCATTACATTGTTAGCATAAGAAAAAAATGGTCAAATAACATTTTTGAAAAAGTATATTTTATTAATATGTTATGCTATGTCCTCTGTAGAGGACACCAGGACTCAGTTTTTCTAAAAAAATAAAATGATAAGAATAGACATGAAAAGGCAAAAACAATGGGAATTTTTTTTATACCTAACTTTGTTTAAGGATGGTTCTCAACTATGTTATAAAATATATAACAAAATTATTTGATATACCATTTTGCTTTATGCAATATGTGTGTAAAAATTCCATAAACTGGTTTCCCCATTAAGCACAATGTTATCTATACACTGTATCTAATTTGCATAATAAAGTGCTGTTGGGACAGCATGTTGAAAAAATAAGTGTAATAATGGGAGCAGTAATTGGCCTGATTTTCATAATAATATATAATATTTTATAAGAATATTGATATATAATTAGTTTACCTATTCAATTATTTTGTCTCCCAAAATGTATAATAAACATGCTTTTAGTCCTGTGTCCTCTACAGTGGGCATGTATGAAATGATGTCCTGTTTCATAACAGGAAGTCATATTTTGATTTGAAACCCCATAACATTTTCCTGAGAGGTTGATTTATGACAAACAATTTAAAAATTAATCAGATTTAAATTATAATTACAAAATATTATCATATTTCCATAAGGATGTACAATTTTATCACTAAATTAATGTCAGCCATTTTTAAAGACCAAGGAGAGGGAGTGGCCATGGTGAAACATCCAATCATTTGGCATCTCTGGAAAGTCCTGAATGTGCTCCGTACAGGACATCCAGACTTAAAACTATGACATGTGAGGTCTCAGAGAAATTCACTGAAATATAATGTCATCTACAAAGAGGCAAAAAGTCCATAGCTGGGTCTCAGGAGGATAAATATTCATTATACAGTAGGGCTGCACGATAAATCGAGATTGCGATTTGACAGAAGCTGCGATTGTCATGCGTATCTTTCAGTGAAGCGAGGTTCTGTGATCAGCAGTAAATCTCCATCCAAAGGCCAGAGGGCGCTCTCGCGCTGAAACTCCAAATACGCCTCGCAGAAGAAACCCAGAAAATGCCTATCGCTGCAGCTGAATAAACAAGATTCAACTGCTTTCATTGATTCAACGTAACTAATAAACACACGATTATGACAATATATGGTTTATCGGAGTTATTAATATTATTATTATTATAATTTTCATTAAAATAAAGTATATTTATAATGCAATGCCTTTATCACTGCTTAAATACTATGAAATATGTTGCGTGCCTTATTCTGTGTAAGAAGCCACATCATCTCACAGAAGGATTTATTTCAAACACTCGACTGACGTTATGAAGTGAGTTTGGAGTAAAAATATGTTATTAAATGTGGTATTTTCACATGCTTTCAGATGGAGCAGCATTTACTTCACAGAGCCGTAGTTCACTGAGAAGCTACACAAATAGCTGTCATTATCGCGAACGATTTCATAATCGCGCAATAAAATCGTCTGCAATTTTTTTGTGTTTGTTTTTTTTGTTGTGTAACTTGTCAGTGAACTACGGCTCTGTGAAGTAAATGCTGCTCCATCTGAAAGCACGTTATGATGATTTACTGCTGATTACAGAACCAGCATTACTAACAAAATGCGCATGACAATCGCATTCGATTAATCATGCAGCCCTATCATACAGTACTATATTTTATTTAATAATTAGAATTAATTAATAATTAGATTTTTTCGTTTTGTTAATTTTTATGACTTATATAATATGTAATGTAAGTAATTTAGGTTGGTACATGTTTATTTATTGCTCTGTATTATATTGGTGCCTATAAATTATGATAATTAAATATGATTCTTTCTTGTGTTCATTTAGTGGAAAACATGTCTTGCTTATGTAGAATTTTCTATTTATTTTTGGTATCAGTATGTACCAGTGAAGAGAGAGATATTTTACTATACCGTCAAACATGAACATGGTCTTTTCTGCTTCCTTTTCTCATGTTTTTAGTAAACGGACCTTTAACTAATTAATTCTGATAACACTTGACAATAAAACGTGCTCTTTCAATCTTTCACAGATAAGGCTACCAGTCAGCTGCTGCTGGAGACAGACTGGGAGTCCATTTTGCAGATATGTGACCTCATTCGGCAAGGCGATACGCAGTAAGATAAAACATTTTCTGATGTGATTGTATGTCACTGGAAGAGCAGGAATCATGCGTTGTGATAAATATGGCTTTGACTTTCTTATATACCGTTTTGTTATTTCCCGCCACCAGGGCTAAATATGCAATTGGTGCCATCAAGAAAAAACTCAATGACAAAAATCCACATGTAGCGCTCTATGGTCTTGAGGTAAGTGTAGTTCATCTACAAATATAGAGCACTGTAGACCAGGGATTTTCAAACAACAATGAAAAGTAAAAATAAATAATAAAAGTAATATTAAGATTATTTTATTATTAAAATAATAAATAATGACTTAATAAAAATTATAAAAATAGATTAAATTAAATAAATGATGCAAAGTATATTTAAATAAATAATTAAAATACTATAATTTTGAGCGCTACTTGCTGAAAGGACCTCCGTTTAATAGTCCCAGAAGGTGCTCTTTGGTAGGGTTCAAAATGATATCTATAGAAACTACGGAACCAAGGCACTTCTTCCAGTTCCAAAATGTTAAAAAGCCTTTATTCAAACATGGCTCACTCTAGAAACATTAAAAATGACTAGAACACTGCACACTGATGCATTTCGGCCATCCAGCCTTCCTCAGAGTGTGTCAAGTACAAAATTAGTCACAGGTGTAGATATAATCAGTTGCTCAGTAGAAATGGGAGAAACCAAAATATATTTTTGTATAATGCCTCAATCAGTCAAGGTCATGTGTGTAAGCTAGCATTTGCTTGTCAACAGGTCCTGGAGTCAGTGGTGAAGAACTGTGGCCAGACGATTCATGATGAAGTGGCCAGTAAGCAGACAATGGAAGAACTGAAGGAGCTGTTCAAGGTGATTCCTGCTTAACCTATAATATAGAGATATCTGTTGCTTTAAGAGTTGTCTTTAGCCCTGCCTTTATGGTCTTTCCAAGTGGGTTAAACCCAGTGACTCATGCTGCACTGTACTTCCTGATTGTGTCATCACGTCACATGTTTATTTGGCTGAGGGAAGTTCCAGCAGAAATCAGAAACAACACACTGTTCTTGGATTTATTTTGCTGGTCTGTAGGGTTGGGTACCGTTCACATTTTAACCGGTATCGGTGTCGGTACCCGACGGCACCTTTTTTCGGTACTTTACTCTGTGTAATTACAAAAACATTTATTTCAGTGAAAAAATAAGTCCAAAAGTCTAAATTTCAACATTTTGAATAGGGCCCTACAAACTTTTTCTTTCTTTCTTTTTTTTTTTTTCCAGAAATTCTTGTTTTAATTTTTCTGAAAATCAAATGAAGGCATTAAACATTTATTTTAAATCAAGTTAAAATTAAACCATTTTATTTTTTGACAAACAAACTGAGGTTTACTGTTGAAATTAAAACATGGAAGACAAATTGTGTGAATATTCCTTTAAAAAATTTTTTTAATAGGCTAATAATTTTATTATTTTTTTCTACAATTAAGTGATTAATCTAGTTGTAATATTTATTTTTATCATTTAATTGTTTTATTTAAATTTGATAGAAAATGGAATATTTAAAGGTGTACATTATATTTTACAAAAGTAATACAAGAGTAATATATTTCTGTTACATGTTAAACCGTACTTTTATTTTGACAGGTTGCCATGAAGTTTCTGTGTGTATACAGTATGATGATGCTAGTTTTCTCAAATGAAACGGTAAAATTCTCATGAAGTGACTCTCGCAGCAGCTCTGGAGATTAGGTTTTTGTGTTCATGTCGTCATATAGTGAGACGCAGAGGCAGAAAATCACAGCGAGCCTCGTGCATGCTTCAGTATTTGTGTAGTGAACAAAACCACGGCGTTTCCGCCATTCATACATACAGAGGCAAGTGGAACATGCAGGATTCATATTTAAACCGTCTTTTTGCATTTTAATATTCACAGACACTCGTTCATATCGCGATTCGAATTAAGTGGCAGTGGCTACTTTTGATTTATTTGTCCAAAATTGACTAATTCTGTGGCATTCTGCGCTATAGAGTAAATGTAATTTTTATGAATGGATTCCGCGATCCCGTCCACGTTTTCGCAGAAACCACATGGCCCTAGAAATGCAACCACACTTTCAAGAACATTTCGGCTTGCCCTGTGTGTTGTTTGAACGAGTTGCAGGGGTGACATCACGTCACAGGGTCTCTCTTTCGCTGTCTGTAGTGTATGCGCCCAGATGCGTTCTCAGGTACCGAAATTTGGCACCGATTGATTTAACGTGAATCGGTACTTGGTAGTACCAACACAATTCGGTCGGTACCCTTAAAAGTACAGAGTTCGGTACCCAACCCTACTGGTCTGTAAGCTTTAAAAATCACAGAAGGTTTTGAGGTGGTCAAAAATACTTGAGATTTTTCTGTTCTCGTGTGTTTTTTTTTATTTTTTATTTTTTATAAACTAACCGGTTAGAGGACTTCTGACTTCAAAGCCATCACTGACTGAATGTGACTTCTTTGTGTTCAGAAACAACCCGAACCGAACGTGAAGAACAAGATCCTTTATCTGATCCAGGCCTGGTCCCACGCTTTCCGCAACGAGCCCAAGTACAAAGTCATCCAGGACACCTATCAGATCCTGAAGGTGGAAGGTAAGATTTACGCAGGTTAACGCATTTCTAAAGGGCATCCATTTCTAAATTTGCAGAACCAGATTGATATGATGCGTTATGCACTGCAGCAGTTTATATACAATTACTTTCCAATGCATAGTGCAATTTAAAAGCAAAAATACCTGATTCGTTTTCAAATGTCAGTAAAAATAAGATGACAAGCTGTGAAACTTTTTAAAAGAAAAACAATCACTTGTACTCGTTCAGGTCATGTCTTCCCAGAATTCAAGGAGAGTGATGCCATGTTTGCAGCGGAAAGGGTGAGAATAACACTGTTGAGTAAATCATGTACATTTTGCACACTCTGAGATGTTTGGTTTGTCATGGGTCTGTTATTTCTTTTCTCTTCCAGGCCCCTGATTGGGTGGATGCAGAGGACTGTCACAGATGTAGGGTTCAGTTTGGTGTTATGACCCGAAAGGTATATACCACGCATTTGAAAATCTACTATCCTTAGTTATATAATGTTTATGAAGTACTCTATCTAAGTCAATGTTATGATGCATAACTGCTGGTGGCTCTTCATTCAGCACCACTGCAGGGCATGTGGGCAGATTTTCTGTGGGAAGTGCTCTTCTAAGTACTCTACCATTCCCAAGTTTGGCATTGAGAAGGAGGTGCGTGTGTGTGAGCCCTGCTTCGAGCTTCTCAACAAGTGAGTATATGTGAAAAAGACAAATACCTACCATTGTGCTGCTCTTTCTGTTATTTGAGAAAGGGTATTCATGATACCTTACATAGGAATAGTTGACACAAAAATAAAATTTCTATCATTTATTTATCCCATATATACTCCATACAGCTAGAGCAGAAATAAATTAAATTTTAAAATAAAACAATTATCTTAAATTGTCATAATATTTCACAATATTACTGTTTTACTATATTTCTGTGATCACAGAATGTAATGCAAAATCACCCCCCCCCCACATCTTTTGTTAGAAAATGTATTTATATCTGTGTAATATCTTCTTGGAGTTGTCCCTTGGGTTTCTCATGTTCATAAGCCTGCTGACGCCTAGAGATTTACCAGGATGTGTGTGTCTCCTAACCCCTCCTCCTCACCAGCCACCCCTCCCTTTCTCCCCCTCCTAGGAAAGCTGAAGGGAAGGCCACCAGCGCTGGGCAGCCCGAGCTTCCCCCTGAGTACCTGACCAGCCCTTTGTCCCAGCAGTCTCAGGTAGTGCCCACCGAATCAGTAAGTAGTTGCATTTCATAGAGGGCTCACTCTCATGGGCGTCACAATTATGGAGCATACCACCAAATTGATTGAAACGGACAATGAACCAATAGTTTATCATTCATGCCCAAGTTTATTTGGACCTTGAATGCAAAGCAATTTTGAGGCTCATGAGTGAGAGCTCATATTACTGTCTAGTTTGTGTGCTTACTGTCAATCCCACTCCAGTCAGTAATAAACACTGTATTTAACGGTGAAGTGTCACTGGCGTGACCAAATAGAATTGCTGAAAAAATGGCTGGCCATTTTAGGAGTAGTTCATTTATGATAATATGATAACAGTTTTATGTTTTTGAAAAAAAGTCTCTGTTAATCAAGGCTGTGTTTATTTGATTGAAAATACAGTTTAAAAAAAAACTAATATCGTAAAATGTTTTTACAGTTTGAAATAACCTTTTTTTTGTTGTAAAATGTAATATATTCCTGTGATCAAACCTGAATTTGCAGCATCATTACTCAGTGTCACATGATCCTTCAGAAATCATTCTAAAATGATTTGCTGCTCGATAAGTATTTCTTACTATTAGCAATTTTGAGAACGTTGATGTTTTTTTAGGATTTTTTTTTAGAAATATTAAAAGAATATTTATTTGAAATCGAAATCTTTTGTAAAAATATAAATGTCTCTGCTGTCATGTTTGATCAAATTAATGCACCCTTGCTAAATAAAATATTTTTTCTTTCAAAAAATAGAAATAAATCTTACTGACTCCAGACTTTTGGACAATAGTGTATATTCATAACAGTTAATCAGATTCATACCAATAATAGAGGCAATGTTATGTTGGGCAAACAGACAGATTGCAATTTCATTTGGTGTTGTTAATAGTGTAGAAATTACACTCTTCACCTTTAAAATATATGCACAGTATTTCAGTGATCATATCAGTGTTGGTGTTTTGTTTTTTTTCTCCGAATCAGTGGAAGCCAGTGATTTGACCCCTTATTAATGACTGATTATTAATTATTTCTAATTAATCTGTAAAATCCAATATTAGCCAATATTGTATTTAAAAAACATAACACGTAAATAATTGTCAGACAAAATTTCTATATTTGTACACGGGTAATATTTAAATTAAAACAAAATGTAATTGAAATGTGTGTAGCTCCCTCTCCTCACCTTGTTTCTTCTTGGCCTCCTCTTGCTGCTCTGCTCCTCAGATGCCTCCTAAGAGAGATGAGGCCGCGCTGCAGGAGGAAGAGGAGCTGCAGCTGGCCATCGCACTGTCTCAGAGTGAGGCAGAGGAGAAGGAGAGGATGGTATGTACACTAATGTCTATAAGCCAGCTGTTCTGTCAGCATAATAAAGGGTTGCATGATGATTGTGTTTGTTTACAGAGACAGAAGAACCCTTACTCTGCATACCCCAAAGCCGATCCCACCCCTGTGACTTCCTCTGCCCCTCCTGTCAGCACTCTCTACTCTTCACCTGTGGTAAGAAACATTCATTGAAGTAATTGATTGAAACGCCTTGTCTAAATTTATCTTAGTGGGTAAATTGTTTCTCTTTTTACCTTTCAGAACTCATCGGCTCCATCAGCTGAAGACGTGGACCCAGAGGTGAAAAAACAATAATTTTAAAGGAATAGCTCCTCCAAAAATGGTTTGTTTAGGCTACGTCCACATGAAGCCAGCGCTTTCCCTATTAAATCTTTTTTTTCTCTCGTCTCAAGAAATATCTGCGTCCACATGAAACCACGAGACCGACACAAAACTATATAGTTCTGCCACAGAGATGCACTAAAAACGGGGTATACAAACGAACATAGAACAATACATTTATTAATCTGTGTTAATGTTAGTTAATAAGAAGTCAATCGTTCAGTGTTTGTTCATGTTTTTGTTGCTGTTACGTGACGTAGTGGTGTCTGACTAGGAGCGAGACGTGGGCTGATGACGTCATCGTTTCAGAAAATATACAGATTCGCTGTCCACACGAAAACGCAAGGGCGGCATTTTTTTTCAGATTTATCCACTCGGGGACCCGGTTTCAAAAAATAATGGTTTCACTGTCCGAAAGCGCCGGATCCGTCTGGACGAAATGCCTATACGATACAAAATGTATGCGTATACAGCTAAAGGCATCTCCGTGTGGACGGTAAGGTTGTGACGGTGAGAATTTTCCCACTGGTTAATCGACGTGTGACAACACCGATAATACCGGTATCACCGTGGGGGCAGGGGCGTTCCCTCTTTTCCTCGCTTTCCTTCGCTTTTAAATAGCTTGTAAAAGCGGCGTACGCATTTTACTTTCTCTTTCAAATTGCGGCAATTCAGCGTAAAGCAATTTATCGTTTTTAATTCGTTTTAATTTTCCCTCATTTCCTCGCTTTCCTTCGCTTTTAAATAGCTTAAAAGTGCCGTGCGCATTTTACTTTCACTTTCGAATTAGCGGCAATTCGGCATCAATTCCTTGAATGCAACAACAAAATACAACGTCAAACTCACTTTAGCCTATATATATAAAACAGAACTTTTATTAACAAAATTAATAAAAATACACCATGCTATAGGGCAGGCAATGCCTAATATAAAATAACAAATAACTTGCATAAAGTTTAAATAGGTATACAAAACTGTAAATGAGTAAACATGTATAATATATAACCAAATAAATAAGAAACGTAGAACGCTTATTAGCAAAACGAATAAGAAAGCTTGTAGGCAGGGCATACACCTTGATGTCAAATCAAATAAATAAATTACACAAAGTTTAAATAAAGTAAAAATCAGCAAACACTGTGGAACCAATTAAATAAGAACCAAATGTTTAAAAAAAACCTTCCAAAATCACCTTAGATAAACGGCAAAAGTCAACAGGCTTTTCAAAATCCAAAGTACTGCCAAACAGGCGCTTCCGCCTCATCCGCCATCGTCTTGTCTGCCTCACCTCACTCTTCTTGTCAGTCAGCTCGACTCACTCTCCTCGCTGGATAAATTAAATCTGATCTGTGATGCGACTGTCATTCAGCACGCTGCATTGAGCAGCCGTGTTCCGTTTTTAATTGTAGTGTCTGTTCTTTTACTGAACTAAAGGATTTTTATTACTATAAGAAAATCAAAACAACGGTGGGGGTCGGTGCCGCGGTGGGCAAGTGACGTAACCGGTGTTGCGGCTAAACAACGGTATCACCGTCAGCACCGTCCATCGTGGCAAGCCTAGTGGATGGGGCCTTAATTTAGAATTTGTATTAGTACAGTAAATATGGCAATACTGTAATATAATTATGTACACTACTGTTCAAAAAAACCTTTAAAAAATGGTTTTGAAAATGTCTTATGCTCCCCAAGGCTGCACTTATTTGATCAAAAATGCTGTAAAAGCAGTACTAATATGAAATACTATTACATTTTAAAATAACTGTTTCTATTTGAATATATTTTAAAATGTAATTTATTCCTGTGATGCAAAGCTGCATTTTCAGCATCATTACTCCAGTCTTCAGTGTCACATGATCTTTCAGAAGTCATTCTAATATGCTGATTTGCTGCTCAAGAAACATTTCTCATTATCAATGTTGAAAGCAGTTGTGTTGCTCAATATTTTTACAGAAACTGTGACACTTTTTTCAGGATTCTTTCAAAAGCAGAATTAATTTGAAATGGAAACCTTTTGTAACATTATGTCTTTACTTTGTCTTGTCACTTTTGAATAATTTAATGCATTCTTGCAGAGTATCAAGTATTTAAGTATTTTTTGTTTAGACAACGATTTTTATCAGAACAAACTTTTTAGGACCTTTTTAAAAAAAATTAAATGGACCCAGAAAAACTTTTACAGAATGCATAAAAAATATTTTTTGTCCAAGTTAAATTTTATTTTAAAAAAGAGTGATAAGAGAGATATTGTTGAATGCTTAATCTGTATCCGCAATGTAATAGCATAAATTTAAATACAACCAACATTAATGAAAAAAAATGACCTAAAACTTTTGAATGGTAGTATATGAAAAACCCAATCAGTGTATTTAAATAATATTTTCGTTATTTTCAGCTGGCCCGTTATCTAAATAGAACTTACTGGGAGAAGAAACAGGAAGAGGTTCGCAAGAGTCCCACCCCCTCTGCTCCTGCTCCAGTTTCACTGGCTGAGCCTGTGCCAATCAGCCAACCAGTGGAAAGCCACGCTTCAGTCCAACCCATCAACATAGTAGAGGTACTTTGAGCACTGAAAATGGATAATCATAAAAAAATTATCATGTTCCACGCTGAATGTCTTGCATCTGTGTCTCTTCAGCAGCAATATCAGAATGGAGAATCTGAGGAGAACCATGAGCAGTTCCTGAAGGCCTTGCAGAACGCTGTCACCACCTTCCTTAACCGCATGAAGAGCAACCACATGCGCGGCCGCAGCATCACCAATGACAGCGCTGTGCTCTCTCTCTTTCAGTCCATCAACAACATGCACCCTCAGCTGCTGGAAATACTCAACCAGCTGGATGAAAAGAGACGTGAGTCACGTGTGCATATTTGTGTATCAAACCCGTTTCCACCTGGTATCACCATTCACGCGCAGTGCTAAATAAAGGTGTAAACGGGATCCAAAACCTCCTCTATTAATTTATTAATGCCAAGTAGTGAAAAACACCATATATGATTTTTGCTATTGAATACTTAGAATTCATTTTACAGTTTGCAGAACAATCATTTGGATAAAAATAATACCCATGGCTAAATATTTTAAATGGACCATAATTGTTGTTCAGTTGTTAGTTCATTAAACATAATGCACTAACAAATGTTAACAAATAGTACCATTTTTATAATATGTGGTCATCCGATGTGGATTATTTGATGGCCAAGATATATGTATATGTGTGTGTATATATATATGTGTGTATGTGTGTGTCTATCAGCCATCAAATAATCCACATCGGATACCAATTTAAAGCTAAGTGAATAACACATGTATAACAACTGCTGCAAATATTCTTTACATAATATTTAATAAAATAATAAAATTGATTTCCCAATATATACAGGGTGTCCGTGGGGTTTTAAAAAGTATTAAAATTTGATAAATCAATTTAGAGAAAATTAAGGCCCTTAAAAAGTCTTAAATGCCATTTTCCAAGGTATTACATTTTGTATCATCTTTTCATTATGTATATTTGTCCGAATAGTGGGGTTCTGCGTAGTTTATTTATGGAATCCTGCAAGATTTGACGTCATCTGTTACGGCTCTCACTGACTGACTGTGCCGCTGCGTGATAGCGCCGGGGCTTGTTGATCCTGCTCTCGCTGAATTTCTGACCATTACCGCACGCTCCCATTTTTGTGTTTTTTTTCCCATTTAGATTTTTGTGTCCGCTTCCGCAAACATTCTAATATTGTATATCATTTTTTGCGCATCAGGGCTACGCTATCAATATGTGGGGTATTTAAATCCCCTTTGAATGAGCACTCGCTGTCGTAATTTACTTTCGATTTCGCGATCGCGTGCGCACTGTGTAAAAGGAGCACATCCTACAATAAAAGATATTTGTCAATGCACTCGGGATCTGTTGAGAAGTAAATCCTCCAACATCTTGTCAGTTATCTCTCCTTACTTTTGACCCATGATCAGTCAAACTTCTGCAGCTCATGTTGGATGCAGGGTTGTTGTTGTTCCACGAAATTGGGCTGCTTTTAAATTGTTGCCATGGGTTGATTTTCCCCAGTGGGTTAAAGGTTTGAAATATTGCATAAATTTACATTTGGTTGAAATGCTTGTACTCATATTTTGCATTCTACCTGTAATAAAACTGTGCTAAATGTTTTGGGCCACACTAGGAGGAGGCATTTGAGCTGTGTTTATGATAAATATGCGCTACTTTGGGCTGTTTTTTATTTATTTTTTTTATTACTGGCTTGGGATGCACAATTAAAATGATGTAATAGTTGTGATCATTATTTTTTTTTTTTACTGGCATGGGCTTGGGATGCACAATTAAAATGATGTAATAGTTGTGATCATTATTTTACCTTCCATGATCATTCAGACATGATCAGATGCAGTACTTGCACTCTGTCAAGTCTGCATCGAATCAAGCACTCTGTAATCACAGGTAAACTGTCTGATCAGTCAGATGTTTGTCATGAGAAGTGTTCCACAAAACAGCTATGGTTTGAGTTGATGTGACAAATACATCTTTTGAATATACTATGTGAACTCATTGTCCTGTTAGCTTGGAGAGCTTTATTTTCCCCCCCTCAATAAGTTTTGTCAGTTGTTTTGTTTATTGGTCTAATTCTTGTTTCTTGGGTTGCATTGGTTAGTCACTCAATTAATTGTCTTGTGCTTCGTTCCCCCTTCTAAATTATGTTTTATTGATAAGGAGTTATCATAAAGTAAGTCTGTTAATTGTGCTATCTTACAATCAATATATAGTAAATGTAATTTAAAGTGTTGCTGACGTAACCGGTTAAAACTTGGAGTGGCGATGAGGTCTTAAAATGTATGGAAAGAGTCTTAAAAAAGGTCTTAAAGGTATTAAATTTAACTCCATAATTCCTGTATATACCCTGATATAATTAATACAGCTAGTAAATAACACATGCATAACTGCTGCAAATAAGTTTATATTATTTATCAGAAACAAATAATTTGATAATGAATCAAATTCAGTTTAAATAATGATAAAAATAAATGAGATTATTTATTTAGATTTCCCACCATTTAGAGATAGTAAATATCACATGCATTTCAACTGTTGCAAATAAATTTGTTTAATATATTTACTCAAATAATTAGAAGTAAATAATTTGAAAATGAATCCGTTTAAATGTAAACATCAGAATAAATTATATTATATATTTATTATTATTATTATTTTTACCTTTATAATATTTAGAAACTGCTGTTAACCTGATGTTTTTGTTAGTAACTTCCGGTGTAGATAACTGCTCTTTCCAAATGACACAGAGTTTGCAAATATATTGTAGCTTGGTGGGTTGCAGTTTCAAAGTATCGTCCATAACAATTCTGAATTAAAAGGTGCTTTTAAAAATGTTGTCTTCTCTCTCGGTCAGTGTACTATGAGGGACTTCAGGACAAACTGGCGCAGGTGCGTGACGCGCGGGCGGCACTGAATGCTCTGAGAGATGAGCACAGGGAGAAACTGAGACGGGCTGCCGAGGAGGCAGAGAGACAGAGACAAATCCAACTCGCCCAGAAACTAGAGATCATGAGGCAGAAAAAACAGGCAAGTTGCTTTTCTTTTGAGCCTGTGAATCATGTGATGAGGGAAAGCTGACTGTGATTGGTTACTGCAGGAGTACTTGGAGATGCAAAGGCAGCTCGCAATTCAGCGCCTGCAGGAGCAGGAGAAGGAGAGACAGATGCGCCTGGAGCAGCAGAAACAC